CTCGACAAAGCGCTGAGCGCAGTTTGAACACAAAATAATAATTATTACTTTTGTTTTCATTATAATTAATGAACCATAGTCTTAAGCTCAGCTAGTTTTGTAGCAAACTCACCAACAGTTAGGAAGTGGTATGGAATTTATGGTATATGATTTTCTGTTTTAACTTTATACAGACGACTCAATTAGCAGAGGCAATTAAGATGTAATTTGAGACAATTTAGATGTTAATTGAGTCATTATATTTGGTGTTATAATCTATGCGTTTTGTCTTAAACAATTAAAATTCCGGACAATGGAAGAGGAAAAAGCTGAAATCGAAACAGCGGGGCCGGCTAAACGTCCAGCTCTACCAAAAGAAGCGCTCAAATTCCAGGGTAGCAACAAGGACAAAATTTTGCTTTCGTCTTTTCCGTTCTAGTATATGTCAAAGCTGCCCCATACTCTTGAAAGCCGATTGTCGAAAGTATTTATAAAATAATGGAAACCGTCGAGTCCGGCCGTCATATAGACAATGTTTGGAGAAGGAGCTCAACATTGCACAAAAAACTGTTTGGAACTATTTCAACAAGGCTGAATACAAAAAAAAACTCGAAACACACGAGTTAACGCAAGAAACCCTAATGAACGGAATTCCAATCTGAGAATAGCTGCTGAATCACAAAACAATCGATGCGGATGGTTACTGGTGATTAAAAGTGGGTCACTTACTACAACGTCAGGTCAACACGGTCGTTGTCCAATAGCAGTGAACCGACACGAACGGTGACCAAGCAATGACGGTATTTAAAGTTTTGCTATGTGTTTGATGAGATTGTCATCTACTTTGAGCTACTCCAAGCCAACACTCTGCGGCCAAACTCTTAATTCGGACCTGTACTGCAAACTGTTGGACCGTTAGAAGGAAGCAATTGCCAGGAAGCGGCCAGCACTGGTCAAATGGAAAGGAATTGTGGACAATGGAAAGTGGTTAGGATAATACTAGAGCTTGGTAGGTAGGTTCTAATGCATCCACCCTATAGTCGGGACCTGGCACCAAGTGCTTGACACCTGTTCTTAGTTATGGCGAATGAGTTTGCTGGTGAAAAATTTGCCTCAAGTTTCCACAAAAACTCTTACAAACTTAATCTACATCTTTACCAAAAAACTAATTTATTCTAGCACTTAAAAACTACTCTACAATTGATGCTGCGAGCATATAATTTAATTTTTTTTTTAATTTCACAAAAGAATTCAACCAGCAATAATTGCCTACTCCACTAACTCAAAGTAACTGAGTTTAGCTGTAATTACATAGTACTTTCCCATTACACCTTTTCAAGTAATTTTACTTTTACGAGCACATAAACAGTAAAACTGAAATAAATTTTTTATTTCAAATGTTACAACAACATTGCACAACAAGTAATTATGACGTAATTTTTCATCAAACAAAAAGTAAAACGATACTTGTGTGAGACTTCAGCAGATGCAATGAAAGTGTAAATAAATGCCGGGAAGAAAATACCCCATTTTTTATTAAAAAAAAAAAAACAATAACAACAGTGTAACAGTATTTATTTCCGTGCTTGAATTTCTGCCGGGGTGGCAAGGGTGACTGACTGTATAGAGTTTTAGTATCGCCTTCAGCACTTCATATACATATTTTTCATGTACGTGTGTGTGTACGTATGTATGCAATGCGTTCGGCGACAGCACAATATAAGTCATTTGGTTATTTTTATACCAAAAAAAGAACAATTTAACAAAATGAAAAATAATTATGTGAATGTGTAAAGTCTGGCATCGCTTTTCAGCAGGTTTCCAGTTCCAAATGCAATTACACTCACAAACACACATATACTAAAATGCGTCGATGGCTGCTATTATGCTGCAGTAGAATGGAAAATACTTTATTTTAGAAATTTTTACACACACCCATACATATTTATTTGTAGAATGTAGGCATATGCACACACGCACACATACACTCATCATTTTTGTGCTATTAATATTTATTTGTACTTTTTTGTTTTGATTTCTTTGAGTGCTTGATCACTACGATTGGAGTTGTAAACAATAGTAAACAAGTAAATACACACACACATACATTTATACATACATGCATACAACTATGCATACATAGCTATATATAAACTCGCATAAGTAAACAAACAATAATTTTTCTCACTTTCATTTTGAAGCAAACACCTTGAGTTACAGGTGTATAACGGCTACTATATGTATCTAGATATTTAAGTATACAAATAAGCATATGTAAGTATTTATTTATTTTAATTTTTCTTAATTTTTAATTTTTAATTGCTTGTTGCTGTTTGCAGTTGCTTGGTGCGTGTGCAATTAATCAATTTGAGCGGACATACAATGTTCGCGCCTCACAAGTGGAACAATTGGAGTAGAAAAAAGCAAATATCGAACGCATGCGAGTACTACTATTCACCGTTGGTCAGATATACATATGTACTTACATACCTATAGTATGTATGCTTGTGATGACCACTCAAAGTGTTGCCATTGAAAAGGCGAAAAAGTAGCGTGTGTTTTATGTTACTTTTGCCAACTGCTGTTGATCGGCATGGAAGGGAGTCATAGCTTAACTTTTTTGATTTTTTACAAAAGTCTATGCTTAATTACGAAACGAATTGGGAATTTAAGAATCTCAAATATTTATGCTCATAGTGGAACAATTAGGCACATTAGCATGATATGATATGTATATTTCAGGGTATTTTAATAGCTATAGGGATTTATAAATAAATTGTGCATATGTATTAGCGTAAACAAAATTTTTGATTTTAGATATAAGATATAATATAAATAATATATTTTAAAGATTTCGAATTTAAAACAAATTTGATTTTGAAAATTTCAAAGGGAAGCCATTATTAATTTTAATCCGAAAATAAATGATTCAATATCTTTATACATTTTATAAAATGTTACGTTTTTGTGAAAAATATCTATTTAAATAAATTTTCTGCAAATGATTTGGATATTTAAATTTTTTTTCTTATTATTTAATACTTAAGTTGTTTTTATGCTAATAGTAAAAACTTATATATACATATATTTAAATAGGTTTCCTCTATAAAAAATATTTTTTTATAAAATCTATTCTTTAAGTTGCTAAGAAAAATTATGTTTAAAGTTAATTAGAATATTTTAAATTTATTAAAATTATTATATATTTAGTTTTTGTGAGTTTATTAAAAATATAAAATTACTGAAAAATATGCTTAATATAAAAACATTTGCTTACAATAACAATAAAGTTCGCCTAGAATAGAAAAAGTTTCTGAATGCTAAAAATTAACAGTTTTTATTAAAACTGCAGCAGTTTTATAAATAAATAAAGTATAATATAAAATAATATATTATATGTATATAAGTATGTATATTTTTTTCAAATTTTTTAAATATATGTTATTTAGAAAAAATTGTTTCAATGCTTCTTAGTAGACAAGGAGTGAAAATGTTTGTTTTTAATGTTCGTCTAAAAAAATAATTTTGAAACAATTTTTAATATTTAATTTTCGATTCTAGAGAGCATATATAAATAGCTTTAAAATGTCAAATTTCAATTGAAATTTGTTTGTAACATATCCATAGATATTAAATAATGATGTGATAGCAGTTTTCTCTTTAACCAAAATCATTATTTGATGTTTAAAAATAAATATAACAAATAAAAATTGTGATGGTTTCCTATATCACAATATTCAATCCACGTGCTTAAAAAAAAATATGTATATTATATATCTGTTGGAAAATCGTCTTACTTTTAATTTCCGGAAAAAAATCTTAAACTCTAATTTACTTTCCTAAATTTCCTTTCACTTTAAATGTGGTGAATTATATTAGTTTTTATAAGTGAGGTAATTGTTTTTGTAGAACCAAAATATGTTTAAATTATGTAGCCCTAACAAATTTTCCAAAAAAATTATAAACATTTTCATGGAAGTAGTGAAATAATTTCAGGCTGTTGCTTTTTTTACAATCAATTATTATTATATTTAGTTGATTCAACGACGAGCAAATAGTTTCTGGTTAATGCTATAAGTTACTTTCAGACCACTTCTTATCCATAGAAATTGGTATAAATTTAAGCTTCTCTTTAAATTAAGTTTTGCGAGTTAAATTTAAGTGGAATGCATTGTCAATAACAGTATTGAACAGATATTCCTGAAGATTTTAGTCAAAAACACTTCATGTATAAATGTTCACCTCAATATATTTTATACCATATCCTGTCTGAATTGAGACCCTAAGAGTTTATATTCATGTATTTGCTATACTCTTTTCTATCTATTGCAAAATCATTTTATATTTATGCAACACTTCTGCACACATTTCTCTTCACACATCCGTTCGAATTTCCCATAAATTTGGCAATGTGCTGAAATATGTTTCCAATTTTATTTTCGTTGCTGCCAAATTCCAGCGATTTGTTGCATAATATCCAACACTATGTATTACATAATACATACCTACTTATCGTGCATACATATTACGCATGAATATTTGAAATATGTACATATATTCAATTCTTGCTCATACAAATATTTTTAGTTTAATTGCAAACATATGGAGGAAAAAATGTATGTACGTAAAAGCGCACTTGTTGAATAATTTTTAGATTTTCCCAAATTTCATGTGCCTTACATGTAGCCAGTTGCCACATGTGTGTATTTGAGTAATTTTAAGAACTTGAAAATGTATAAATATTTTAGCATCTATCGATGTAATGGTTATTTTTGGAAAAAAGTTCGAAGAAAGGATATCAGTTTTTTTAATGCTTTTTTGTTTAAGAATTTTGACGTTATTGCAAAACATTAAGATTATTATAAATTTAATTAATTTTATAATTATTATAAATTTAATTTGAAAGCAATTTTTTTGTGAAATAAATGATTTCAGAATTTTTTATCACTTTTTTAATCCAAATTAGTTGAAAAATGGTTTTTCCATAAAAATTATTTGTATCTTTATTTATTTAAATATTATTTTTTTTGTATTTTTTTTTAAATAATTTTATTTATTTATTTATTTATTATTGTATTTTATTTATTTTAATTTTATCAGAACTTTAGTTTATAACAGTTAAAACACAATATTTTTTTTTTTTTTACAAAAAATTCTTACAAAAAACTTGCAACCCTTTTATAAATCATAAACAATAGCCCATCTTAAAGATACTATAATTTGTCTAACAAAACACTTCATTATTAAATCCAAATTTTCTTCCCGAAAATCTTACTACCTTTATGTAGATGCAACAAATTTAAACCAGTTTTTTTTCCAGTCAACCATCAACGCAGCGCCAAACACCTCTTGAACGTTACAATAAATCAAATTATTTCATGGCATGCCATAAAACACATTCAGCCGTTAAGCATTTTTTGAGCTTTTTACCGTCTTAAAGCTGGTAAGTACCACCGCTTCTTAACTTTTATTTTCAAGTAGCAACGTTAGACAGCCAATAAATTTCTCATAATTCATGCTTATATACATTTATCCAGCATGCTACTGCCTTCATTTATAAGTGCTGAAGAGCCTACACAAATTTTAACGTGCCTACATGCAGATTTTCCAAATTACTTTTCACTCATAAAAACTTCAATCAATTTGTTAGTGATTAGTTCGATTCGTTATAGTTTCGCTGTGGCTGTTCGAAATCAGCTTCACATCGCACCGCTCTTCTCTGCGCTTAGCCACACTATTTAGTTGCAGTTGCAGCTACAAAATTACATGACCCATTTAATAATTTTCATGAAACTGAAATTTTGAAAGTGAATAAAAATATGCATAAGACTAGGCATTTGGGTGGTCATAAGTCCCTTAGAGTAAGAAAGATATTTTTTTTCTAGATATCGTACCTTGAATCGCATTTACAACAGTTCTACGGTCTTAATCCAGTCCAGTTTACGAAACAACTAAAAGGGTGGAAATATTTCAAAAATGCAAGAAATCAGTGGAGCTCCTACTCGTACCCATTTTACGACTTGTGAATAGAAGAACTTGATCTAGGAAGCTCTACAGCTTACTTACAGTTTCCTACGATTCCGCTATGGCCAGTTATTCAAACCATTTTAATTATAAAGTAATTCGATACCAGAGATAAGAATCTTTACTTCTTACATCCTTCACTAGTTTCAAGCGTACGGTCAGCGAGTTCACGGCTAATATCCAGTATCCAGCGACCAGAGTGGATGGTCACCACTCTGAAGGCTGCACTTCGGAGCAGTATATCTACTGCTACCTTAATTTCAGCCACTTCCGCATGGAAATATCGGGAAGCCTGAAGCTTGAGTGGATTCGCACAGTATACTTCTCCACCAACCATTTCCACAAGCTTTGATCCATCCGTAAATAAGGCTTACCGCTCCTTTCCTTCAGCGAGAAGTAAAAAAAAGGTTTTGGAAAACTCAGTTTTAGTTATGAAGAAAATAACCCTGACACTAGGTTTTAGCAAATACTACAACAAATACAAACAGTTTGTTGTTATAACGATAATTTCGTTTAAAAATTTATCCAACTGAAGTCACTAAATATGATTGGTTTGCCAAAAGTAACTATTAAAGGGTTATTACCAAAATTTAACAAAATCGATTTACGCTTTTTAAAAGTGTATACATCTTCTTCCAATTCTACCATTTTTAACGATATTTATTTTTTCGCATGCTCTCTACTACTTTTTTCATCAAAGTACAAGCTATATACTCGTAACCAACTTCGTCTATAACAGATACACTTAAGTCTATAAGCCGTGGATACACCTAAACCCACACATACATACAAATTCCTGCCACTTTTTTGTGTTTGTGCTTCTAAAGGCTCGCTCCACATTTAACTGAGTTATACTGCTGGTTCTTTTACCTCCTAACCCATAATCGCGTTCCCTCAACGACCTTGAACTCTCCTGCCGCTGCTAACTTTTAATGATACTCGAGCTTCAACGCGCTTCAGTGCTAAAATGTTGGCAAATAACTTTTGCTTTTTGCTTCTTATACATAATATACATATATTCGCCAAAAATTAAGCCTTAATTAATTATGTATATATATATATATTATATATATATGTGTATATAGGTATATATGTGTATATATTTTTCTTGAATATTCTCTTGAATTAAAAGTCAAAGTGACGTTTTGCTAAAAATTGTGTTTTTCGATAAGTATGTATATACTTAAATATATGATTTTTTTATATAAACATAAGTATATAATTACTTGTAGATAAGTCTGTATGAATGTAGACTGTGACTAGCCAGCAAGGTTCGCTTGTTTACCGCAACTCGCCCGCAATCGCCATTTGACGTCGCTCATTTTTGCGGTCTTAAGCGATCGTTTTTGGCTGGCAGTCGTCGATTCTATACTCCACATTCGATTTTTGCGTTTTGTTCTAAAACACGTTTTAACTATTGTGGGTCTTCAAAGTGTGCTCCGCTTGACTTATGTGTGTTCTGCACAAACAACATACATACGTACATATATACGAGTATATACATATGTATGTACATTTTTATAATAAATACATACTTTACATAGCTTCCTTGTTTCGTGATTGGGAAACTGGTTTGCTTGGTTTAGTCTCGAATTTTTTTGTTTGCTGTTTAACTTTGTTACGCTTCACATTCATTTAAATACGCTCGACATTTCGTTAGTTTTGAGACACACTTAATTACTTCAATTTCAGAAAATAAATTACTGATCTGTTTTGTTTTTATTCTCAAGTATCCAAAGTGTACATTTATATATTTAAGTACTTGAATTTCATACTTACAGTATCAGCACAGAATAATATAGTACATATCTTTAAATAACTTTGGCGGGGTTCTTATAATTTCGATATAAAACTCAGACGTACGCTAACCGATATCTTAACCACTCTTAAATGTGTTGTGGTATAATAGCTATTCGCTACCGAGAATTATATAAAATAGAGAAAAGATGCAGCATTCCGTGTTTATAAAGCTGGACTTTACGAGATATCAGCGTAGTTCTAACGCGCCACGAAACATTTAGACCGGCATATGGAAAGTCTACCTATCAATATAGCTTATGTAAACTTTTGACTCAAACATAGGGCTAACTTTCAGAGCAAAATTTGAGCTTTTGCGAGCCAAAGTCTTAAATTTTTTACTATTAAGGTTATTTCCTTCGTCAGACTAAGCCAGAAGCATTTCTGTTGCCATACTTTTTACGATCCCGACAAATTGGCTGGAATATAGATATTTGGTGCCTCAATAATTTTGAAATTTCTGGGCGTCTTTAGCAGACCAAGTGGGATTATTTGTGGCTTCACGAGAAATAAGCCTATTTACATAATCTAACTTAAAATACTTTCCTACTCTGCCTGTTAATCTTTGTGGATCCTTAATAATTGAAATAATTTTTTTTTTTAGAAAAATAAAATAACGTAAAAAAATTCCAACTCAATATAGCATGCTTTTGGTATTAAATTCAACTTTAACTATCTGATATCAACTAGTTTGAATGTAATATCCTCAAGAATAATATACCGATCTTTTTTCTCACAAACCGTACTTCGTACTATCTACAGTTTCACGAGCGTTATAGGTGAAGCAAGTTTTGACTGCGATGAAAGTTACCTGCTGGTAATTGAGAATAAAATATTCTCCTTCAATATTTAGTAGAAAGAAATTCAACATTATACCATCTGATTAAATTTAACCCGAAAAACTACATTTCATTTTCCATACACTTGTTATAAGTCTGGTCTCAACTAGTATGATCATCAGGGAATTTTGGTTTTTTCAGTTTTTGCTTATTTTTAGAGCAGCAATCGCTGGTTTGTTGGTCAATCTCGACTTCATATTTATAAACAGTAAAGCCCTTAGCTATGTTGTCAAACATCTCTTTGACGACCTCTACTCAATGTGTTTTTTTTTTTTTTGCAAAAGATTCAGGATTTGGTACGAGTCTATTATTGACACGCTTCATAGCCAAAACAATAACCAAACTGTATTTAGTCGATCCTTTAGAGATGTTGGAATCCCCTGCTATCTTTCTGCTGTCACGCCGACTCGTATGCGCCAAGTTTTTAATGACTTCATTGCATTCACTGAATACTTTGTGCCATGCAAATACTTGTGTGCGTGATAAAGTAGACTCCCCAAAACACTTCTGTAACATGCTTAACCATTCTATAGCCGTTATTCAAGTGGAATCAAAAAATTGCAAGCAATTGGATACGTCGCTCTCCCTGTCTGTACTCTGCTCTCAAAAATCGAAATGTAAAAGCAAAACTATGGTTATTAATTTCTTTACAATACTATGTTTTTTCCTCATTAAATTGTTATAACCTTATTTCTATTTCTATATAATTATGCCAATCAATTAAAATTATCCCCTTTGAGTGCCCTCTTCGGAAACCTCCAAAGATTGCCAAATCTCAAATAGCTAATATAATATACTTATATGAACACAAAATGGTTACCGGAGAGTATCGTGTCCATGAAAGCTTATGTTCAACCAAGATTAAATATGTTTCTAAATTTCTACAAATACACAAAGATCATTAAAATGTTCAGTTTTGAAACCCAGCGATAAGCTTTAGAATATATAAATATTTTTACGAGTATATTACCTATCTAGTATACAAGTATATGTACATTGTAAAAAAACTGATTTCTGTAAACACGGATTTCTCCTTACTTTACCGCACTTCTCTTCATTTATCATTTATTTGTAATTACTTGTTACTTTTACCACTTAATTTCACTTAACACATTTGCCGTAAAATGTCAAAACAAAGTAAATTAACAGAAAACAAACAGAATACCCTGCGAAACGGAACTCACTCATTTTTTACAAAACTTACAATGCCTGTGATGTCCGAAAGATAAACAAACAAATAAGAAGAAAACAAATAAAAAAGATAATTCATAAGCGTGACCGTGACTGTGTCGGTGTGCTTAAGCCCGCAGCTCTGTAGTAACGGGTAATGCCTTGACACTGTGCCGCTGTAGCTCCACTTGAGGCGTTCGAAGTTCATGCGTGGGCAAAAAGAAAGACACTTGAGTGACAGTTTAGCGTATGCCGAAAAGTTAACATTATTTCACTTTTGTTGTAAATAGTTATGTCTGTAGCTACAAAACTACATGTTGTTGTACATTTCTGCATATTCAAGTACACTAAACGAAGCTCTTAAATGCCCATTGACATTTTGTCACTTCCTGAATGTAAGCACTTCACAATTAAATGGTTGACATGTGTCAAAGTTAAAGAGAGGGAGGAGAGATTATACAAGTAGGTTGAAGATGCAAAAAAACTTTCAAATGCAATTATTAACTTAAAGCTGGTTCCAAGATTGGCTAGATTGGCAAGGTTGGGTGGAACAAATTAGATAATTTTCTGTTGACAAAGTTAGATGGAAAGGACAGCATAGAAGGCTGCTTGAATATGCAAGGTCATTTTTTACTGTATAGTACAGAAGGTATGTTCTAACCGTTGGTCTTTTCTTTGAAGTTTACTAAAATCACACTAATTTTATCTGGCCAACTTTAGTTTTTAAAAATAAATGAAAAAATAACATTTGCGCCGAGAAGTATAAAGGAGAAGTAGTCTACGAAGAAGTATAAAGGATATACAAACTATAGGTTTGTAGTGAGCAGCAGTTTTTGTCAGCGTTCTGCAGTAGTTAAAATTCCAATTTTCATAATTTTTATTGAAAGTAAAGTATTTTAAAATTCTGAATTTTCAATATCTACAAGATTATTCATTTCGACAATATTTTTCGGAAACTGTTTTGATCAAGATATCCGCTTTCCGGGTTCCTATATTTAATGTGACCCAAATGGACTTCTAAAGTGTATTCTTTATAAGAGCGGAGATATGTTTAACATCTCCTTAAGGTCAAAAAGCCGTTCCTAAAACAAAGAAGTTAAGATATAAAGCAAAGGAAGATAAGAACGATAGTTGGACTTAATACGGATCAACCGTAGTTTTATTTTTTCTCTTCCAATAATAGTTCTTTGTGGGAGTAGTAACGCACGTTTTCGTTTCTTTACGATAATAGGTCCTTTCCACTTTGAATCTGAGGTGTAAGACTCCGTCTGAAGTTGCAGAGAAATATCGAATAAAAAGAAGTTCTCAAATCTAGTATATAACTGGATCTAACTTATGGTTCTATAATCACAGATAACCTTCTAAAAAGGACTTTAGATCCTTTCCTGAAAGGAGTTTAGAAGCAGTTGGATCACAGACAACCCTCTAAAAAGGACTTTAGATAATTTCCTAAAAGGAGTTTAGAAGCAGTTGGAGGAGAGTAGGCTAATAGGTAGAAAAACTAAGAATTGATGTTCAAAGCTAGTCGAATATGATGGATAACTTTAAAAGAGTAGAAATTTTACCCTGGTCTTTGACAACCCTAAAACCTCATAATAAACATTACCAAGAAATGGAGCTATCGGTCACTTAGCCAATGGGTTTATTTTAAATGGAGCAAATTAGGACAAAGGGTCATAGGAATTACTCAAGACCCAAAAGAACAAACGCTACAATGCACAATATATTAGCAGAGTAAGGATTTTATTGCTCTTGTGGATTATAAGAAAAATGAAATAAAATAAATCAACTCTTACTTGTAAAAGCGCAACCACCAACTGTATCGGTCCACAACGCACCACCACCGTACCAATTGTGGTAGCCCGTAAGCCACCTCCACCACCACCGCCTTCACCACTGCACAAACTCAATTCCGAAGCATGTCGAGCTGTGGCATTTGTCGAATTACTACCGCCGGCAGTGGCTATAGCATTGGTGCTCGAAGCGCCAGTCAGTAAGCCAACACCACTAATACCGGCAGTGCCGCCAGCGCTGGGTGACGGCGAGGTGGACGACGAGAGGGTCGGATAATTGTAGTTGTCATGCTGTTGCCGATGTGCGGAGGGTGTATTCGAGACATTCGAGCCGGAATAAAGCGATGACATCGATGAGTCCAATGTGCGATGACGTTCCATATTTATTTATTTTTGTTTTTATTTTTCCGTTTTTGCGTTGTCTTTGATTTGTGTGCTACAGTGCGGTTGGCGTGCTGTTGCAGTGGCCAAGAGGGTGTTGCTCTAGTAGGTTGTTGTTGTGGGCTAATAAAATAATCGCGTTTGTTTATGTGTGTGTGTGCGTTTCTTATTTGCAGTTATTGTTGTTGCAATTAGCTTTCCTTGCTGTGTATTTGCGGCGGCTTTGCTTGTTTTAAGCTTTTCACGTTGCTATAATTTTTGTACGGCCTGCTAATGTTGTTGTTTTGTTTAAATATTCTGCTTGTACTACTTGTGGTTGTTTTTATAATTTTGTGTTCACATTTGCTTATATTTCGAATTTTACTCGTTAATAAATTTTTTTTCCAATTTTTTTATATAAAAAATATTTTATTTATCCGTGCTATTTTAAAAAATCTCAATCTGTTCCTCGATTTATTGCCTATAATTCGTCGTTGTGTTAATTATGCTTGATTTAGTAAGATTTTTAGTAATTTAAATCTTTTTTAAATAGCGAAACTTAGTCGTTTAATTAAAAAAATATTTTTTTTTCATAACTTTATAATATATAATAATTTTTTCAATGCTGTTGCTTATAAAATTTTAATTTTCTTTAAAAGAAATATATTTCACTGCTTTTTATTTATTTCTACTTCTTGCATTTTATTTTTTAATATATCTTATTTTATTTTTTGTTCTATTTTCTTTATTTATTTATTTAATTTTTTTGTTTTTTTGTTATATTAAATTCGTGTTTTTTTTTTTGTGTTTTCAATTAATTTTTTTTTTTCTTTATATAATATCCTTTTAAAAAGGGTAGTACTCGTAATTAGACTTTTCGTTCGCGTTTTATAAACTCTTATTTGTTGTTTTTTTTTTTTTTGAGGCAGAAATTAAATTCGTTATTTGTTCGTATCAAATTGTTTATTAGCTAAATTTGTCGTTGCCGTTCAATTGCTTTTGCTTTTCGAAACTTTTTCGCACTACATTTCAAATGTTCACGCTTTCGCCGCTCTCGTACGTCTGCCTGATATTCAGCGAAACTACGAAGCTGTCTGCCAGTACTACCGCTAGTCCGGCACAAAGCTCACACACCAAAACAATCAATAATAAAAAATAAAAAAAGGCAAAAAGAAAATTAACTCAAAATAAAATGCCATTAACACAAAACCGTTCGCATGACTTCATGTTTCTCAAAAAAAAAAAAATCGGAAAAAAAAAACAAAATCAGAAAAAAAGTATTCAACAAAAATACACTCACTTTTCGGCTTCGCTCATTCTACACACAATTTGTACCTTAGAATTATTTTTTTGCACGCTCAGTAAATACATACATATCCACACAAATAAACGTGTGTCCTCACACACACTCGCATACGCGAATGCAAGCTGCTCATAGAAGCGATCGTCATCACCGCATCTGGCCAACAGCATTGTGCTCATCTCGCCACACATATGGCAACGCCAGTGCGCACAGACACACACATATAAATTTGTAAGCTCATAGACAGCAACGTTCTAATATAAAGTGAGATACACTCACTGGCTGAAGCTCCCTGCCCAAACAGCTCCCAGTTGCCAGCTTCTCAAGAGTAAGCGGCTACTGTTGCCTTTATATCTTTCAGCGCTTTGCTCTTGCCTCATCGCATGCTACGTGCATTTTTATGTCTGTATATACAAACGTCTGCATATATATGTGTTTATGTGTGCATTTTGTTCTAGCCACTGTTTATACTTACAGCGAGGCGTTATTTGTTGTTTTTGTTTACGCGCAACAGTTTATTCTATTTTTATTCGAAATATGTGTGTACGTATATAATACCTATATATAATGATCGGCTTATGGCGTACTTTCATGCCAACAACAAAACAAACACATAGCAGTTGCGCGAATTTTGTTTCAGTTTTGTTCCAGTAACAAATATGCCTTATTTTCTGAAAGCATTGCCGAATTGTTGGCTTTTATAGGCGATTTTGTAATTGGCATATTTTCAGCATCTAGAAAAGATGCTCATAAAACTAGCAAGTGGTCTAGAGAAATATAGATAAATATGGATCAATACCTATACACTTGCCATTTATAGGGAAGTAAAGTACATCGTTAGTTTTTATTGTAAATAAATTTTTCCTGTATGAGTACTCATTAGACTTTGGCGCAAAAAATTCCGCCGTTTCGGTTTGATCCAAGAAAATATAGAGAGATAAATATATTTTTAAGTGCACATACTTGTAGTTGAATTTGACAGCTAGACAAGTCAAAAATGTATACTACAGTGTAGACTCGAGCCTAATATTGAGAATTATCTTTCTAAGTTGCTTTAAAAATAATATAAATATGATCTTGAAAGAAAAAAACTGCCAACAGAGTCAGAGTGGTCAAAGTATCTGTATATTGTCTTTAGACAAACAAGAAGCACATTTAGATTGAAAAATACAAGATTTAAGAACTCACTTTATCAGTTGTGGTTAATCATAATTTCAAAACAAAGCAGAGATAAATGAAAAATTTGTTGATTTAGAAAAGCAAGATAGAAATGCCAATCTCTTCTGACAAAAAATTCGACCTTTGTTTACGATCACTGTAACCAGCTAAGCAATATTGACCGAGTACACAAAAATATGCTATTTCGACATCTAATATAATATAATTCTTCAACCTTTAAAAAGCAGCACAAGTCCCTTCGCCCGCATTTAATACTCTCATAGGTCGAGATTCCGTACTCAGTTCCTCATCCCTAGATGCAACTGTCAGGTTTCTTTTGAGCAATCGACTCGCTAAGCAAATGTTGTGCTCGGTACAACGATGTATCATGGTTGAACAAGCAAAGCAGGGATTTTTTTATACTCTGAGTAAATCAAGAGTGAATGCAGCTGACCATTTAGTTTAGCCGTTAGTTTTCTGGCATACAACATTAATATACTAGCATGCTTTTTGAATTTGTATTCTTAATTATTTTATACGTCTCAATAAAGAAATATGGTATCCCAAAAAAATTGTAATCCACCTCACTTGGTAGAAACTAGAGGGAACTTTCGAAATATGGTAAACAATTAATTCTTTCCCAAATGTAGACCATTAGTTAATAAGAGGAGACCTAAGCGTTGCAAAATAGTTCAAAGCCAACTTCATTCTCTTCAATCACACTATTATTTTGTGTACGTTTGTATATAACCAAAAAAAAATCAACAGCTCTTTTTGCACAAAATTTCCTTCCTTCCCTGTGTTTCGTCAAATTTTGGTCAGAATTTAGTCTTCTTACATATTTAAAGAGAAGTATACGTGAGCAGTAAATAAAAACAGGCAAATTTGTGAAATTGATGTATCGCCCATTTCCTTTAGCCATAAATTCGCATTAGCCAAAATCGACTAAAGCAATTTCAGCGTCAGCCTTCTAAAACAAAAACATGATGAAAACTATCTAATATTTTCTCATTTTCTGCTATTCTCTTGCGTTATTTCACTGTCCGTTAATATGTTTCAAGTATTTAGGTTTTTGTGTGATTTCTTAGTCATTTTATGCAGATTATTTGTAATAGAAATTGGGCAATCGTACCATCAGCCAGACACAGCGCTGACATGTATGGGGCAAATGTTTAGAGAATATGGATCAGTGGAATGTCGCAAATTTTTTTACCCTGGTGTAAGATATGACACTTAGGTATTATTCTATTTTCACTTTGTGGTAACCTTATTAAATCTAGAAGTTTGCGTATTTAGGTACGCATAAAGTTATTAAAATAACAAGAAGAAAGTGCCTATATGTTGTTTAAATTACTCGAAGAAAATAAAATCCACTTTATATCGTACGATCATACCATCCTATGACTTCACAAACACTAAGTCGAGTATTCTGAAAGTTTTGCTTCAGTGAATTCGATCTTAAAATCGATATTAGTAGCTGTGAGATACTTCTACGCTTCGATCTAACGATAATTTTCCAAAATCCATTGATTTATATTATATGTGTTATAATACTCGAGATGACGAATTTTTAAATGCGCCTTGACTCTAAAAAAATCACTTGATTGTAATGACTAGGTTTCTGGAAAGTTCTCTGTTGAAAGCTTTTAGTATCCGTGTGTTTATGCCAAAATGAGCTCTGATAGAAAAGAGTCAATATGTCACTATATGTTATAACCAGTGAAAAATATATGTGAAAAACCGATGTATTTGTGCCCAGGGTTTGGTTATCCCATGAGCATGGCCTATATCTTAACTGCTTCTGCTCCTCAATACCTACTACAATTTTTAGGTCTAACCTCTCTTAGGCAGTTACATAAAATATTTTGTCATGAATCATCGGTAAAAGTCTTAGTCGAGGTTACTTTCCTAAGGTCAAACCGATTATATGACAACACAGAAAATTCGGACTAAATAAGAAACTAGTATTTTTCGTACAGTTGTAGATTAAAATCTACAGTCAATATTTGGTTTGACCAATATAGATTTACTACTAGCAATATCTAATTGCTAGCGATGCCAAAGCCGCTCAAAACATAAAATTTTCTTCTGGACCGCAGCTCAGGAAACACAGGAGACATGTCTTTCCACAGAGTTGCATTTCATCTGACTTCTCAAATATTCTTAAGACATTTTAGACCAGTTAACGGTTAAAGTTTACTAGTTTCAAGTATATTTCGAACCAACACATTCCTCTGAAGGGAAAATTGTAAGTAAATGCTGTGTTTACTTAAACAAATATAATTTTCTTTACACTTAAGCATCGGCAAGCGTTTGTCGAGATTAATCAGCATGCAAATCTGTTGCTCATACAATAGTATGTACACATATTTCACAAATGATTGTATGTATTTAGGTTTGATTTAGTAAGTTTTCGAAGCACTTGGGCACGTTCGCTTACTGATCAGTGAACAACGACGCTGGCGCTAGTTAGATGCCGCGCTTTCGTCAATTGACCGGGTATGTGCATACGTACATTTTTATGTATTAATGGATGTAAATATGGTACATACTTGTATATATATACATAGAGAGCTATGTACACATGTATGTATATAATTATGTTTACTCGTTAAAGTCTTCAGTCCACTTGCGGTCCATGTAGTCGACGCGATTCAGTTCAAGTCGTTTATTTTTCGGGTCAATTAGATAATTTTTTTTTGTTCGTTGCCTTTGTTGTTGTTGTATGCTGCGTAATCTACACATATACGCAATTTTTTGTGATTTTCGATTTTGTTTTCTAATTGGTGCGTTTATTTTTACCAAACGAAATATGAGTTCAGTGTGCCAATGTGCGGATCAATCGATTCATTGTTTTCCTTTTCATCTTTGACTTCTTTTTTTCCTTCCTTTGAAGCACAGATTTCTTTTTAGACTACAGAAAAGCAATCTGCATACATATACATATACCTACAAATGTATGACTGATCGTTGCTTTTACAGATATAAAAGTGCGGTTATGTTCATATATTTGTGTGCCATAAATTTCGTTTAAGCAGAAAATTTTTAAATTTGACAATTTTGACTTTGTTGTTTTTGGCTCAGTTGTGCAAATGTTCTGCACCGCAAATTTATATATTTACTCAAACGTTTGTGTATTTACAAATGCATTTTTGTTTTAATCTGCTTATTCGCCTTAGTTTTGGTCAGCTGCATCGATGTTTCTTCAAGTGCATTTCATAAGAACTCATACTAACATATATACATTCATACATACATACAATATACACGTTAATCGTTTTTACATAAATTTCTGATTTATCGTTTTGTCTTGTCGCTTGTCGGAATTAATTGCTTTATTTCATTACAATTTCAGTTTTCACCATAAATGTCACTTGATTTTACCTAATTTGCTTCATTATAATTTTTTTGTTTATTGTGACAGTAGATATTTATTTGATTTATACATTTCCATATAAATCTTTATAAGGAAGCTGTCTAATTAAATTGAATGGCAGGTGAATACCTGTATATTTATTATGGCCAAGGGATCGGTTAATAAAAATTGCAACATATTAGAAAATGAGTTGAGAATTTTTCTTTAATATAAGTGTGCTCAGAAACTTAGTTTGTTTAACTTTTAGCCTATTTTATTAAAAATATAAAAATTAAACAAGAAAAAAACTTATCTTCAGCTGCATCGAAGCTATAACACCCCTTACAGGAGCATTTCTTATTGCAACAATATGTATCATCTGAACAAAATTGGCCCGGGCTGGTCCATTTAAATTACGCGCGTAAGCCGACTCTATAAATATTTTTCCCTAAATACGTAAAATCTTTTTTTATGTTGTAGAAAGTTTGATCTACATACTTATGTCAATTCGTATGTGTTTGACAGCTATTACTTTACGACCCAAAAGGTTGGTATGGCAATTTTTACCATGCAAAAATAATTTACTCACGAAATTTCTTGAAATTTTGGGTTTCCAACGGAATCACTGCTACAGAATAGTTGAAAGTATTGCAGATTGTTTTGGGGAGTCTACTTTAGCACAAATACAAGTGTTTAATTGTCACAAAGCATACAGTGCAAGGTCGCAAAGTTATCGAAAACTTGCCTCATGCGAGTTGCCCATCCACCTCCATTAATAATGATAACATCGACAAAGTTAAAAAAGCAATGTTTAAACATCGTCGTGTTGACATCAGAGAGATAGCAGAGGATCTCTTATGTAATCGGCTCAACACATTTTAGTTAATGTTTTCGGTAGGAAGCGCAACAATGCTACACTCGTAACAAAATACCTGAATCGTTTGCAAAAACGATGTCGAGCAGAGGTCACCAAAGAGATTCTTGGCAACGTTGCTGAGGACCATAAATTCAGTAAACGCAAGCTGGTGACGAGACGTTGTTTTATAAATGTAATGTTGAAACTATCCAACAATATTATAGCGGAAGGAACTGATGAACGCCATCCCAGCCGAGGCATATAACAAAGATATTGGATTAATTTTGTATTGGCACAGGAGCCGATTTTGAAGGTGATAATTATTATTTGTATTAAAATTCCTGAAAATTTATTTTATTTTTGTCAGTCCGAGTCTAATTACATTAAATAATGTCTAATGGTAAAGGTTTTTGCTATTCCTTTCTAGCAACAGAATTCTTTGCAGAAATTGTAGCGTTGCCTTGAACAATAATCCATGTGAAGTATCGTTTTCTATACAAAGACTTTATTTTGCTCGAGCAATTTGTATGAAAACTATATCCTCTAGTAGTCCGATATCAGCGCTTCTGACAAATGAGCAGTGTAAAAGATTTCAAAAAGACAAAATACAAAGATTGCGGAGATCTCAGATTTTTATCCGATTAAGGCCTCACAGTTCGACGTTATCCTCCAAAAAAAGCTAATGGAATGAAATGGAATTACACCAGAATGAAATATATTCACATTGTTCGTTTTATCTGTGGTATGTAGGTATACCTATATATAGTAGAAGTGAAATTCGGTAGTGGTTCAATAGGCCAACACTAAAACTTCCGCACATACCTACTTGTATATACATAACATCGAAGCACTCAAAAATATTAGAAATCTTTGATAAATTTTGCAATATATGATATTTGACTAAATAAAAAAAAATTAGATCATTAAGTGTGTGACTGAATCGTAAATAAATTGTTCTGCCGCCTTGCTTCCAATACTAATACGTACTTTCAAAGTCAGATAATGCATTCTAAGCTCATATTTCTATCTCGTTTTCTGCTTTTAGGTGAAATTTTAACAAAAAGTAGACCACAGAAAAATACTCGAAAATAGCTTATTATGTTAGATTTAAACTCTAATATTCTTCAGAAATTTATAAGTAAACAAAATTTCATTTCTGTTCGTTAAACCTTAAAAAGTGGCGAATCGAACAAGCATCTTATATAAATCCAATAGTCTTAATCAAATATGTAGTTATACGATATTAATGAGGGATCTATATACTATCTTAATTTGAAGTCAAGTTGATGGTTTTTAGTTGTTTTCA